CCTCCCTTTGGCCAAATGGCGTTGCCATAGCCATAGGTACCCTTTGTTTCAAAGAGCCACCTATTGTGATCAAAGTCTCCAGTCTGGCTTCTCATTAGTGCTGACTTTGTTGACTTCATCAAGGACAATCTCCTCTCCATTTTAGACACTCCACTTGAGGGAGGAAGTGGAAGTGGCCTTCCATTTCCATCATCCACAGCAACTTCATCCAGCTCTGTGTTTTTATAGGACTCTTTACATCCAGGGCACATTCCATCTCCTGTTTTCACAGCATCTATATAGCAGTCTCTACATATCTTAAAATCACACTCACAAGGAAGAATATCCTCACCACGTTCGTCACTCATCACCTTACTATCACAACCAGGAATTGCACATGAAGACCCTTTTGCACCAGCCATCTGTGGATGGTTTGCTTCAGACTCTATCACCTTATCCATCAGATGCGCGCGAGTAGCACTGTTGAACCCTCCTGTGAAAAGTGAACTTGACACATACTGCTCCTCAACTTTCTGTGATATTGATGGATCCATAGGTTGGTTATCAGGAGTTGGTGGCAAATGCACTGTATAATTCATGAAGTCATTGCTCCCTATTTCACTGTCAAGATCATCTCTGGAGTAGCTTATGTAACGACCCGAGGTAGTTCTTCGCCCAAATGTTACAGTTGGAGGCAAAGGAGGTCTCGGCCCTTCAGATGCATCAGAAGATGCTGACTGAGATAACCGGCTTGGCTTGAATGGTTTAGATGACATTTTTTGAGGACAAAGACTAATCTTAAAAATCCTGCAAAATTCAAAACTTAGTCAAATCATATCTTCATCAGCATTGTACTTCTTGCTACTCACTAGAAATAAATCTATGGTATGAACTGTAAAGATCAACATCGAAGTTCAAAGGTGAATCTTAAATTCATAATCATTACTTTAGTACTATGATAATTGATGAGAGAAATAAATATTTAAGTGAATTGTACCTAACGCTATCCTAACAATAAAGACGCATCATTCAAGTCTCAATCAAGTACAAGCTTTTCAAATTTTGTGAAAAATTCTCCACTGTTCAAAATCAAAATTTAACTAGTGAATACTCTACACCATACCGACAGTTAAACAGAGCAAAACACTGGATCTCAGTAAAAAAGTTGAAGAGTTTAAAGAAAATGGCAAGTTGTCAACAAATCTCTGATATATCAAAAAAGGAGGAAAAAAGTATCAAGGAATCAAGAATCGTTTAACATTTAAAAGGGTAGAGAATCAATCACCTGAATCTGAAGTACCCAAATGCAACTCACGGACATTTAGTTGGTTAAACTTCTAGTACAAGATCCAAAACTCTGCTTGATCATTCTCACAAATTCTGAGAAGTCCAACCAAGAGCCACATTAGGACTAGGATTCTGATGAAAAGGGTTCAATCCGAAGAAGAAAGTAAAAAAAGAGAAACAAAAACAGAAAAAATAAAAGAAACACTGTTGAACCGAACCGTTATGAGTTAAGACAGTCACATCAAGTCAGGCTGAGTTGGAAAAACCCTTTGACTTCCGTTGCATTGCTTAACCTACAAATCATCAAAAGTCTCAAATCTCAGGAAAAAAAATAAAATCCAATACAATATTGAAAAATCTTCCCATTTTCACTTTTCTCGCCTTTATTCTCGGCAATCAATTAGCCCGTTACATATGCAAGAAAGGCATCACATCACAATCACATAAAGATCACACCTTAACTCGAAAAAAACACACCCCATGAATGCATATCTCAGAAAAAGGGATCAAGCAGAGAGTGATCACAAGATGAAAAGGAAGCATACCTGATACCTGTTTCTTGAAAAACTAAATGCCACTAGAGTTTGAGATCTGACATCCTTATAAGAAAGTGATGACAACAGTGATTCAAAGACATGCTCTCCTATTGTCACCTTTTATAGTACATTAGTCTATGCACAGACACAGAGGTAGTTAGTCGTGAGCAAAACTAAGCACTACAGTTCCATGATTGAAGCCTATCACATCATACTAAAAAGTATTTTTTTACTTGTTTCATTTTCGTACTTGAAAATACAAAATTATATATGAAGGTTCTTGGATACGAAAGAGAAGTGGGCATTACTCGGATGTTATCAACTTATCATCGATCATTTTATTTTATTTTATTTTCCTTCTAATGACAACCATTTTTCAAACTACTTTCCAAATTTTGTATAGATACTGTAATAAAAGGAGAATTCTAATATGTGGCTGCCAGCTCAGTCCAATTCGGAGTTTCTTGACTAATAAACCCATTTATTGTAAATAATAATTAATGGTATACTAATTCAAAATCTATTGTAAATTAAAAATAAATGCGCCTTTAATTTGGAATTATTAATAATAATTAGTTTCAGAAATTAAATTCCAAACACGTTTGACTCATTAGGCTGTCAAGAAGCTGTAACATGTAATGTAACACGCCGTGTCTCCCTTCCTGCAATGCAATTCGTATTTTCAATTTATATTCACATTTTATTTGAAATTTCCTTTTTCTTTTGTTCTTTTTTTAATTTTTATGGAAACTTCAAAGTTGAAACTTGTCTTCCCCAATCCCCTACTAAGATATTTTGATTCCTCAAATCCCAAATAATTATTAGACAGGATTAAAACACGCTTCATCCTTTTATTATTTGTTGATTCCGAGCTTTTTTAAGTGAGTGGGTAAAATGAGTAGTCTTAATTATTAATAAAAAAATAATAGTTAATATTACATGTATTCACATAATAAATTACGTGTTAAAATATTAATCCGTATTTTTTTTATCAACAATTAAGATTACTTAATTTAACTTTAATCACTTTAGAGCAGCGGTATTAATGGGTTGGGTTATTTCGAGTTTAAGATAAAAATTAAATTCAAGTCAATCATATTTTATTTAATTTAGTTGAAGTTTTGGGTTTTTTTTTTTTTCACTATTAGAAACCAAACTAATCTTATTAAATTTGGATTGGTTTATCCTATTACGATGAAGAAATTCATGTATTTTTTTAAAGAAATTAAATTTATTACCCATTTTATATAAACATTTAATTTATATTAATGTAAGGTAAACAAATTTCGTGTCATTTATTGATTAATAATTTACTTTATTTAAATTCTAAGTTTTTGTAATTTTTTCGTTTTACGTATATCATTATTTTATTTACCAAAAATATAAAAAAAATTACGTAATAAATATGTATAAATTAAGACACTTGATAACGCTAAAGAAGATAATAAAAATGAAAAGAAAGAAAGACTAAAGTAAAAGAAAATGTAAATATTAAAGTCTAAAATGTAGTAATATAAAAGTTAAAAAATAGATAGTTGAGTCATCAAGTTAATTTGTATTCAAAATAGATGATTAAATTTGATAATCAAACTAATTATATTTGGTTTGATTTTGATTTGAAACGAACTTATCTAACCCAAACTAGTTTAATTAATTTGATTTGAATGGTGAGTCATCAAATCAATTAAATCCAACAAACACCTAATTTAGAAGAGTTAAAACTTTGTTATTACTTATTTTTTTTATTGAGAGTTTTGTTAAAGAATAAAAGTAAAAATAAAATTAAAAAGTTACATTGAAAATTATGGAATATGTTGCTACACTTTCCGATAATAAAATTACTTTTTTTTTTTAATTTCTTAATGAGTGCTCATAAGAGCATTAGTTAGCATTGTTTTTCTTTAAATATATGTTATCCGAGGTAACACAGTTTATATTTACACTTTGAAGATTAAATAATGATAAGAAAATTTTGAAGATTTTTTTTTTATGTATACCACACGTATTCTTAATAATAATAAAAAATGTTGAAGTCAAGTAAGACCACTTTAAAGATAAAAGTCTTTTACACTTCATTTTACCATAAATTATCATATGTAATGTAAAATCATAGACATTGCATCAGTAAAGTTATTTTTCCACGCTTGTTTTTCCCTTATTAAAGCCACACTTTTCCGGCGCTACAATATCATGGATATTCATAACTAATCAATAGGCACTTAGAGGATCACAACTCTATGTTAATGGAGACAATTTTTTTAAAAAAAATAAAAATTAATAATAATCAAGTTCACATATAAAAATAAAAACATAAATATAAAAAAAATAATCATAAGTTCAATATATAAAATTAAAAAATATAAAATATCATATTTTTAAATATATATTAATAATTTAATTAAAATGAAGTCCACCCTCCCTACGATGTAATAGAAATATGTGGTCACTTTACAGTTTAGTCTGAAATCTCGCCGACTTTGATGTTATTTCCAATCAAAACGTCACCCATTTCCATTAATTCAGCTGTTTGTGGGCCAAATTGAGTGGAACTGTGGAAGGTAGTGACATGCATGAGAAGAGAAACAAAATCCAAGGGAAAGCAACGGCCCAACCACGTATATCATTTGAAAAATTGCATTTTTTTGGCCATGCTACAAAATCATACACATTTTCAAACCATTTTAAAAAGTATGGACATGTTAACCTGTACTAACAATATTGATGTTTTTTTTATCATTTTTTATATTTGCACAAAACACTCAAGTCACCATGAAAACCACAAGCCGAGGGTTACACCAGCAGTCTAGCCCATGACAAGCATTGCATTCGCATCAACCTTCCCTAGAAAGTCTATAAAACAAATTTTATTCTCACAACTCTTCAATATAACTTGCAATTTAAGAGAAAGATGAGATAAAAAATGCGAAATAAAAAAGTACTAAAAAGGATAAAAATTAGCAATAAAAAAAATGAGTTACAGAAGACATTGCAAAAAGTGCACATAAAAGTAATATAAAAAGCCACACAATCACCTGTGAAAACCAAAAATAAAATTAATAAATTTCATTTATTGTTATTCCATAAACGAAAAAATAAAACAAGATGCGAGTGTCAGGCATTCAGCCTGGTCACAAAACTGGTTTTCCATCATTTTACCTCATCATACAACAACCCAGCAAGGTTTCAGCCACAACGAACTTAAAGGCAAAGACAATTATGATCTTTGATTACCATTAGCTTTCATCCAAAGCTAATCATACTGCAGAGGACAACGTGAAAATTCTTTTTTTCCGTCATGTACTATTTTAGTTAATCAAGTTATACAACAAACTAGCCCACCAAAGAATACAAAAAAAAATAAAAATGCAGGAGACAAATACAAGGGTCAAGGGTGGTGTGGGAGCGGATGAGCAAAACCGCAGATAATAAAATTATATAGAAAACAAAGTGATTCAAGAAAATATTGAAGCAGTATTAGTGGTGTTGCCAGGCCTGCATTCACATGTACACCGACTTCTAGACCCTTCCACTACCCGTTGAGATCTTCTGGTGTGAAGCTTGATGTTCACCACCTTGCCAGCCATCTGTAGCACCATAACATACCATTATTCCTTTAGAAAACAAACTCCAGAATACACCCAAAAATGAGTCATGGAAACATCAAAAAATATAAGATGCCTACTGAATCATCTAAATGGTTAAGAATTATCAAGAGAATCATAAAAATAAAAATCATATGATAGAATTAGAATGTAAATTCTACGATTCCCCAACAGATATTGCTGATGGTTTCCAACACAAATTAAATGTGCATTTATACTAAGTTCTCTAGAAAAGAATAACATCAGCATGTTTTCAGGAATTATTTAGAAATATCATCCAATCTTTTGACAAAATCTACAGTAACCCAAGTAAAACCAAAATCAGACCAACTAACTTCTAGGCTCGGCTTACAAACGGATATAAGCACGAGGAGATATGTAAGTAAATAGTGTCGTCATATGCTTAAGCCAAAATCACTGGCTAGTGGCCAACAACATATTGCTAGCTAGCAACCAACCTGTATTCCAACCCCCCGCCCCCGGGGTAAAGTAGTAAGTAAACAGTATCATACTGCTAGTATGATACTTCATCCTTCTATATCTTGAGACACATCTCATGGACATATGACTAGCGTTACACAAATTCATAATCTTACGTGATAACATCTAGAAAATGAAAGGCTCTTGTTACAGGCTTACAGCTTTTAAGCGAACCTAAAACTACTGTAAAATACAAGTAAACCAAAGCTTATTCTAAAGTAACAAGTCTGTGAAAGTGAAAGTACAGTTAGGTCTGTCAATATTAAACCTTATATATTTTGATCACCATCTTTATCTTAATGGCCGTTTCACTTCATCATATGGCGTCCAGAATTAAACTTACTGAAAGTTGTGGAGCATATGATATATCAACAGTGCATTGAATAAAAACAGAATAATTGCATTTCATTTTTCAAAACAACAAAACTACAATGGAAGAAACCACTTGATGGGCAAGCTGAGGGTCAAACCTCAGCTCAAGTTCATTTTGTGACCAGTGTCTAGAATTCTAGAAAGAATATTAGGAACAGAAACTAAATAGCAAAACAAACAGTAACAAACCATTTTCCAAACCAAGTCTTCAGGACCCAATGGTTGAGCAGGACTAGAATACAAGAAATGCCTCGAGTACTGAAAAGAAAAAAAGAAAACATAAAACACCAAACAAGCAAGACAGACAATGCACAAATTAGTTTTCAAAAATGAAAAATAACAGTTATTATTGCTACAAACATTTGCACAGTGCACAATATTTTCAGCTTGGCATTTTGCATCTATAGAAAGTTCTAGCAAGATTGACAGCAAAAGAATAAAGAAACACAAAGGGGGACGGAAATGAAGTAAAATTCTACATCACCCCAATTACAAACCTTGGCAAGATTTTGTTGAATTTCTTTGATATGAGCAGGTCTAATGCCTCTTAAATATTTCAAAAGCCAACCTGGCTTTACAGCGTCATTAGAAGAAATGAACAATGCTATCTGCACGTATGACAAAAAGTAATTAGCCACTTTACACTAACAAATCAAAATTAACATTTCATAAAGCTCTGGCTTATAATATAACCATATACCAGATTAGACAATGCAGTTTTGGTCACTGGTTGTTTACCTTGAGTTTTTTTTTTTAAAGGTTTTTGTAATGACAAAGGGACCAAAATTCTGTAACAGTGTGCAGTCAATTTTGTTTTTTGGTGCATTTGGTTGATAAAATGCAACTAAATTTGTCTCCTGTACTTAAATCTTGGGGATAGGATTATGATTTTAGCTTCTCTTTGGTGTTATGCCCATGGGCCACGGCTATGTTGTGGATGTTGTTACCTCCAATACATAGAGACAGATAGACTGGATATCCCTGCTAAATTTTTTGGGTTCCTGCTGTCCTTCTGCAATTTTTTTTTAAATGATTGTTGATACTTTTACACCAGCCTCATTATATTTCTCTTCAGTAAATTTTCTTTTCCTACAAAAATCTACTCAATTTTCAGAAAATGAGTAATTAAAACAAACTTAGTTAATGACATAATTCACATAAACACGTCCTGCTATCACTTAGTCTGTTCCTCTTTATGTGCCAGGGGTCCAATATGGTATTCAAATCTGGATATTGTATTCCCCCTCCCCTGCTCTCACTCAAGAAAAAAGTTCTTAGGATGAAACTAGTCAATAGACTCCATACTAATAATCTGAAATAGCAGGTATGATATAAAATAGATATTGGGCCTTATATACTCTTGTAACAAATTTATAAACCAACAGATAATCCCATAGTGATTTGCCCACACTGTCCACACCGAAAGGAATAATATCCAAAGCTAGCGAGTTATTTTCATTCACCATTATTTAACTCTCAATAATGATCATAATGTAATCAACTACGTCATATAAATAATAAATGCATACACACCTTTCTGTAATCAAGTATTCCTTCAAAAGGAAGCTCCAGCTCATCACTAATTATAACTGGGATGCATCCACTAACAATAGCATCAAATAATCTAGCAGAGGATGGAGTGTCACCAGCTGGGCTTAAGCAAAATAGAGACCTGATGATGTGCGAGGCAAGCAAATAAATACAACAAAATAAGTAACCAGAGTACATTTATTCAAGTGCTGAACTTATATTACTTGCGCATGCCCCTTTGAGCAGCTTCTTTACCCCCCTCTCCAGCTGTTCCCTCCTCTATAATCACACCATCGGCACCAATTAATTCAGCTCCAAGTTTAGAGCGAATCTTCCCTCCCTGAAATGGAAAGGTCACAAAGAAAGCAACTAAACTCAGAATATTATAGAATATGCAGGTGACAAAAAACTTGAGAATGCTGCACACTCAAGTAGGGCAATACATGATGAGACTTCTAGTCCAGAAACTATAAGATCAGACAACCAAACAATAAAAACCCATTACCTAGTCATGGTTCTACCCCAAATGGCACAAGGCCTTCCTTATAGAGTTAATGAGTTCATGAACATACATAATAATAAAAATATGGTTTTGTAATATTAGTTCTTAAGGCTGATTTAAAACAAATAAAAGTGGAATAAAATAAATTATTGGGAAATGAAGCATTTATCATACAATTGTATTTTCAAGGTACCACTTTTTCTCTCAGTAAAAAATTTCTGCTTTTAGTTGCTTAAAGTCGTTTCTAACTCCTAAGGGCCGATGTTGGACAAAACCCATAAAAATATACTACTGAATAGATACTCTCCACTACTGACTACAATTGAAAGTTAATAAAAACATATTTCTGAATTTCAAGTGACGACATTCTCAGATATAACTTTCAAAGCATCCACCTGCCAGCCAATCAATTAATCAGCTATCACAAAACATGCTCACCGCATTTCTTTTAAGCCGGCCCCGAAAGAAAAGCAGCGTGCTTCTCTTCTGATTCGTCTCAGATAAACATTTGGCATCACATAAATCAACATTGGGAACATAAGGAAGAATGACGTCTTTCTCCAGAAAAACCTGTCCAGGCTTGTACCTGAAAGAGGCAAAAGACCACTCAAAGCCATTCCCAACAAACAATATCAATGCATTTACAAAGAATCGGCGGAAGTTCGAGAATAACCAGTTGCCAGTGGAATCCATATCAGGCAACAGCCAAATTGCATTCTTGACGTATCTGCGAACAGACTTAAAAGACCAGGGATGATGCACTGGGAGTATGTGATCTCTACCACCAGAACGCTTCCATGCAGGTTGATCAGTGATCCACTTCAAAGCTTCCTAAACCCACAACAACCAAAACTACATCATAACAACATGCCATCAATCAATAAAAAACAGAGTAAATGGAAGTTTGTATTGTATGTAAGATCTGGTTGGATGAACTTCTCCGGAAGCACTTCTGGGAGACAGGAAAAATGATACAAGCTTCCCCATAACCTAAAACTAACTTGTATACAAGCTAATTTGTAATTTTTTTAATTCTATAAATTAGCTTATGGGTAAGCTAAGTTTAATTTATGGAAAAACTAATTTCACATTTTTCCTCTTAAAAGTGGTTCCCAAGAAGTTTATCTGAACAATCTGATAATGTTGTTAAAGAGCGTTAGAAGAGCACTCACACCCTATAAAGGGCCTTGCATTGCTGTTTTTCCATGAGGAAGAAGCTGATGGTGGTGAAGAATGGTATGTAGAACAAGTCAGCGTCCTCCTGCCGGTGAACCCTAACGACGGAGGTCAAGAGCCTCTCCGATTGGGGAGCGATGAGATCCGCCCAGAGCCAGTAATCAATGGAGTGCTGCATTAACGACAGAAACAGATCAATAAACGAATGAAGCGATGAGAAATTGAAGGATTATAATTATACCTGTTCGATGAGACGGTGAACGGGGCTTCCATTGGAGGTGAGATTTGAGGTATCTGAGTAAGTTTTTTTGAAGAGCCAGAGCAAATCGTAGGTGAATTTGCGGGGCATGTCGTAGACGTAAACCCTAAGGGGAAGGGGGAGCGGGTAGTAAGGATCGGAGTAGAGCCTGTCCATGTCGGAGCGATAAACGGCGTCGTCGAGCTTGGTGGTGTCTTGATGTTGTTCGTCGGAGAGGGAGAGTGGCGTGGGAGTGTTGGCGAGGAAGTGGTCGAGGGAGGCGAGGAAGGAGGTTTCGGCGTCGGGAACGTGGAAGTGCGTGGCGGAAGAAGGAGGAGGCGTGCGGAGAGGAGAGAGAGAGAAGAGGATTAAGAGGAGAGAGAAACCGAGGAGGAAGAGGAACACTGTCATTCGCGAATTGGATCGCGGCATGTACTTTCCTGCCATTCTTTCATGCAAATCGCTCTCGCTGTTTACAACAATTTCAGATGCAACTCGCATTCACATATAATGTGCTGTCTATGAAATTAAGTGAATTTTTTCTATATTAAGTTACTTTTTTTTATTCCAAATAAATAATTAATGCCGTCGATTCATGCTAAGATAGAAAATAATTAAATCAAATTGTTCGACTCATTCAGATATTTATTATTTTTTCCTAATCTTTGTGGAAAAGAAAAACTTAATCATCACTTATGTTAAAATGGAAGGAATAATGATTTGCATCAAATTAGATTGGTATATTAACATTTCAATCCTTCAAAATTCAGACATAAGTTCCAATTTTATGTACCAAAAATACTTGGTATTCGAAATCAAGTGTTTTTCTTGTTTTTCCTTTGTGTACAACTGTGTCCGCAAAGTTTGAACATAGAACTTTCTTATCTCAGATAATTATAACATCAAATTTGCTGTAATACATCTAAAATATACCGATTTCATAAACAAATATAAAATATATTAACATCCATGCATGGAAAGTGTATCAGAAGATTCAGAACTTGGTTGATATATAATAAGCATATAGAATTGAAAGGAACAAGCCATCAAGTCAAAGGCACTGTCCTAATAATATTCAGGCTTTGGCTTAGTTGCAACTCATAAGGAGATGAGATCATCTTTAGATGATTGCTGTTTCTTTGGATATAATCCCCCATCAAATGCATCCCTTCCCTTTTTCCCAAAAATCATCTCATCAAGATCATCTATCATATCATCGTGGCTCCCTCCATGGACTCCAACTCTTGAACCAGATGGTTTTCTAATCAGGGCTTCCTCTTTTGTAAAATTGGGTGACTCATCAGGCTCAATAGCATCAGGTACCATAGCTGGTTCAGCCTCATATGGAGCACCTGTAGCCTTCTTCTTCTTCTTCAACTCTTCATATTTGGAGAGAACCTTCTGAATCTCATCATTAATATCCAAAGCCTCAAAAAGCAGTGCTTCATTATCCCCATCAGTCTCAATGATTCTATGGACAGTAGACTGGGACTGTCGACACTGTTGTACTAATGTGGTGGTCAAATCATCCTGCAAGTATATATTACAAGCAAGTTGGTCATTAGTATTTTTGCTGGTTGGTTCCTATATATCTACACCATAACTTTCTTTGGAATAGAATATATGAAGGTGCATGTATCATTAGTGCATTTTTGGTTTTTATTTCATACTTTGTTAAAGATTCTATTTATATGATGGTAATAGATTAGCATATAAGTGAATAACTTTCTCCATAAAAATAACTTATATAAAGTTGAGTTAACCTCAAATTTACATTCTTAAAATGGTATAGAGTGAAATTTGAAGGAGACGTGAAACTATAAAACACTCCCCTCACAACAATACGATAAAACTTACAATGATTTTATCATTATAACTTACAGAAACACAACCATGTGCGATTTGTACCAAAAGTAAGATTATGATCTGGAGATTTAAAGCAGAAATTGACATGCAGAAGCTATGTTATTGACATGGCTAAAACAAATGAAATTGTACCCATAAATAGAATATTCTAATTAGTCCAAACTCCAAAATATATCGATGTCAAGTTGTCAACTCAAATGAGAGCAACCAAAAATTAAGGGACACAAAGATGCAACGAGTTGTAGAACACAAAAAAACAAAACAAAATAAAATACCTTTAAAACATCCTGGTGCATTGAAGTAGATAACACAGTAGAAAGAAGCTCAATGCTATTTATCGCAACCTCAAAAGCTTCCTTTGTTTGTTCAGACGTAAAACTTAGCACATGAATATCATGCTGCTGCATATGATGTCCAAGACTGACATCAGCCTCTGGAGCAGTGGCAGAACCAGGAGGAGTTACAGGCGAAAAACTTTGCACATGAATATCACGCTGAATAAGATGTGCAAGATTCACAGCAGCTTCTGGAGCAGTGGCAGAACGAGGAGGAGTAAAAATAGGAGCTAAACTTTCATTGTCACGGCCAGGGAATCGAATACCCCTTGACTTCAAACTCTGGACCAGAAAAGTGTTAGATATAAAGCCATTCATTCATGAGCCATTCATACATTGTTATGTTGATCATAACAATGTATTGGACCATTTATGATAAACAACATATTTGGATAAAAATTTAAAAGTATTTTCGAAAGACTTTTTTTGATTTATTGAAAATAGTTGTTTATTTTTTATTAAAAAAACACTCAAAAATATTTTTAACTTATATTTAAATGTTTTTATTGAAATTCAAAAATATTTTTTTAAGGTTGCCTTAATCCTTGTTCACTCCTATCAACCGAAGTTTCTAAGGGAAAGTAGATTCATAACAAAATGTAAAGACAAAAAAAGTTCAAATACAAAAATATCACACTAATATAATTTGTTAACACAATTAGAAATTTCATTAAGGTGAACTACTTTTATTAAGGGAAAATAAAATATTTTTAATCACTTTATTTTTGGTTAGTAAAATGCGATCCAAGTCATATTGATGAATTTTTTTTTTATAATATAAATTTACATTAAGACAATATACAACTTATTTCCTTATATATAACTTGAAAAAATGATATGTACAAGGAAAAAGACTGGTATTGAGTCCACTCTAAATAACACCTAATGGAAAAGAAGAGTATAAAAGAGATAAAGAGAAAGTGAGAAACAAGAGTTCTTAATGAGGTGTTTAAAGCATGGAGATTAGTCATATTGCAAAGTATTTTGGCATGTTTTGGTTCTCTTATTTAAGCTAGGAAGCAAGAAAAGTTGTAGAAGTAGACCTTGTAAGTTTGTGCATAGACAGGCAGATAGCGAAGCTCAATGGTTGACTCTCCCCACGCCTCAATCATCATCAAAGCCTTATTACGGTTAGCAACAACAGTCTGATCGTCATGAATGAGCTTGACCATCTCATCAAGGACCCTCTCAGTGGCCACCTCCAAGAAAGCCTTGTCACAGTTCTTGAGCAATGCTTCAAGCAAAACCAAAGCCAGGTACTGAGCAGTAGGACTCTTGGCCACGACCCTTTTCTTTATAGCACGTACCAATTCACCAGTGTTGAGTTTATGAGCATTGGTCAAGTCACATATATGAAGAATGATGGACCAGTCAGGGTGATGAAGAGCCTCAGAAGTAGCTTCTCCAACGAGTTTATCAGCATGGGTTGGATCATGGAAAAACTCCTTCACCTTGAAGCTCACAGAACTCATGCCAGCACTCATCTTCCGACCCACCTCAGCCCCACCTACTTTGAGACGCTCCCCCAAAGCGTTGACTTTTTCCATCAAATTCTCACTCATTGCACTTGGAGAAAAGGTTGAACAACAAGAGAAGCGCTTCCACTTGTTTGTTGGTGTTATTGACTCTGTTCCTTGGAGTTTCAGCCTTCTCCTACATAACTCCAACATGTACACCTTTCTTCTATCATATCCTAATCCAATGTCTTTTTCTCTTCTCAATTTGCATTTCCTCGTACGTTACGTTACATTACATAAAGTCATCAAAGATAAAACAAACTTCAATCCCACCTGAAACTTTTCTTTTTTTTGGGCCATCCCTTGTGAATTTAAACAGGGCCTTTGAGTTTTGGGGGAGTGAAGTGATGCATGCTTTCTTGGCCTCCTATGAATGCGAATATAGAATGGGCCTAATAACAATGCATGAAGGCTTTAGTGTTGGGTTGTTTGGGCTGATCCACCACCCGATAAGTCAGTTAGAGGCTTATGTTAAACACACCTCCACCCTCGTATAAGCACACCCCCTTTTTTTAAAAAAATATATAAAATGTCTAAATTACCCTTTAAAAAAAATTAAATTCCTAAATTTACACCTCTCTTCCCCACACCCCCTTCCCCGCACCTCCCTTCCCCACACCTCCCTTCCTCCGAAAATGTTTTGTTACATAATTACGGAAAGTACTTTCCATAATATTAAAGTTACTGTTACGGAAAGTTCTTTCCGGAATTATATAAAAATGTTCCGGAAAATACTTTCCATAATATTAAATTCTTATTCCGGAAATTATTTTCCAGAAATATTTTGTTACATAATTCCGGAAAGTACTTTCCATAATATTACAGTTACTATTACGAAAAGTTCTTTTCGGAATTATATGAACAATAATTTTACTATTCCGGAAAGTACTTTCCGGAATGCTAAAAAACTTATTTTACATTCCGGAAAGTACTTTCCATAATATTAAAGTTACTATTACGGAAAGTTCTTTCCGGAATTATATGAACAACAATTTGGCTGATGATATATACACCTCCTATCATTTATAAATACACCTCCAATCTTTTTTTTAAATTCCTAAAATATCCTTGTAACTAAATTATTATTTTTAAAATTGTTTTATTCACCCCCTTCTTTTATCATTCTTCTTCTTCTTCTTTCTTCTTTTTCTTATTCTCCTTTTTTATCACTCTAGTTATTTTTTGATGATTTTATTCTTTTTCGTTTTTCATTCTTGATTTTTCTTGTTTTACAATCAACATAATCATATTTTATCTTTCTATCTTTTAAATTCTATTTTTCACTTTCCACTCTATTCTTTCTTAAACCCTAATTTTTCATTCAATCATCATTATCCTCTACATTCAATACAAGGTACAAAATTAATATATTAAATTACATTTCATATTTACAATTTTTTTAAACTTATTTAACATTACTTATGCACAACAGGTTCGATCGCAGACGCCGGTGGTGGATGAAGAGATAAAGAAACTGGTAAGTTAAATGTGTCATGCGCTTGTAAAATAAGTTTTTTAGCATTCCGGAAAGTACTTTCCGGAATAGTAAAATTATTGTTCATATAATTCATAAAACAAACTTCAATCCCACCTGAAACTTTTCTTTTTTTTGGGCCATCCCTTGTGAATTTAAACAGGGCCTTTGAGTTTTGGGGGAGTGAAGTGATGCATGCTTTCTTGGCCTCCTATGAATGCGAATATAGAATGGGCCTAATAACAATGCATGAAGGCTTTAGAGTTGGGTTGTTTGGGCTGATCCACCACCCGATAAGTCAGTTAGATTCTGAGTGAAACTTCTTTTGGTGTTTGTCTCGACACTTTTTAAGTTTTAATCTTGGCTTTAATAATTGTTTGGTTGAAAAATATTTGCAATTCACTCATTTAAATATATATATATATATATATATATAATTATCAATTAAAATTTATTTGAAATTATATAATTTTTTGTGTCTCACTTTATATTTAATGAATATCATCCATAATTTTATAATATCTAATAAATCCTATCTAATTCTCATAACTTTACATATCTTATTAATATATTTATTCCATATATTAAAAAAATGTGCTGACATCTGAAATATACTAATCTTTTTCATTTCAAACATTAATTTAAAATGTTAACAATAATTAATCGAATTATCATATTATGTTAGGTTAAGAAGTAAAAATAACTAATTAAGTAAAATATTATTTTTATTTAAATTGTCGAATTTATCGATCATTGAGTTCGATAAACATCATCATTATCATCGTTTTTGAAAGAGATGGTGAAATATGTTATACGTGACCATCTTCTATACTACAACTAGGTACAAGTCATGTGATTGGAATCCAATAAATTTTCAGGTACCATAAAGAAATACAACACAAACCGATATACAAAAGTATTATTATAAGTATAACATATATAAATATAAATTCATTTAACATATAATTATTATAATTTTATTATTAGTTTTAAATAAGATTTAATAATATACTACATGTCAATATTATTTTTATTTATATTTTTTAATATATATTAATATATATTATATTTTATATCTATAATATAAATAATAATAATTTTTAATAACAAATATTACATCAATATATGATTTAGATGTCACTATTATATATATATATATATTTATTGCAAAATTTGTTTGAATTATCGTATGAGTCGAAGTCAAACCGCAGCCATTGCAGAGTGCAGACTATTGTCCAGTCAACTAACGTCTTTTGTTGCGCTCCTTCTTAGATTTTTAGACCACACACAACTTACACCTTAAAATGTTTTCAAATTCAAATATACTTCAAAAATTAAATATTATAATTATTACTAAATTATAACAACTATTTTAAAAAATAAATTGTATTTTTTGAACATGAGGCTGCCTCTAATTAACCATTAAATAAAAACAAATATCATTTCATCTTCTCTTCCACCAAACAATCTAAAAATCATATCACTTTTTGTTTATTTATTTTCTTTCTTCAAATTGTACAAACAAAATTGAAGAGTGACACTTGCACAACATGCATGTACTTACTTTCAAGTAAAACAAAACAGTATTTATAATCATAGCTTACGTCAATTTTGACCACAGAACAATAAAAGTAAAACAAAACAGTATTTATAATCATAGCGTACGTCAATTTTGACCACAGAACAATAAAAGTAAAACAAAACAGTATTTATAATCATAGCTTACGTCAATTTTTACCAAAGAACAATAATTTAAGAGGGCTACTCACAATGACAATTATTTTTACCGGTAGAAAAAAGTTACTCCGTGCTTGCATTGTATTAAAAAAAATAAAAAATTACTCGTAAAAAATGTAATAATTATTAAAAATAAACAAAAAATAAAATGGTTCATGTAAAAATAAAGATCAAAAGTAATCATTGAAATTGGTATCCCTTATATATTAGTATAAATTCATTAATCTCAAGTTTTTAAATTTGATTAATAAATATTTTTTTTTAATTTTTTAAAATAAAAAAGTATAATGGTAAAAAAAAAAGTGGAGATCAAGGTGATTACTAAAAAGTATATTCCCTTTATATATTAGTATAGATTGTTTTACCACACTGGTAAAAGTGGGGCAAATCACCCGGAAATGTTTTATGTAAATTATTTTTTATCCATATATATTATAGCACGGGTCTATAAATTTTTTTAATAAAACCAAAAAATAGTCTGTAATATTTATATAAGAAAAATATAATTATTTTTTTATAAAATATATATATTTATGACAAAAGAATCTAAAATACAAAAAAAAATTACAAATTATTTAATAATTAGAGTATTAATTCTCATTTTTTTTCTTTTAATTTGATATTGTAATAAAATTTATATTTATTATCTTTTAAAACTCGTATAATATTAAAGAAGCGAAATGGAATTATTATGAATGACTTAGTGATTAAGGGTTGAAATAATATACACCAGGTCTTAACTTTGAATTATTTTATTGTCATCATTATAATTTTTATAAATAAAAAAAATTAAAATGTTAAACATTAAAATGTTAAAAATAATAAAATAATTTTTTTTTATTTACATTTTATAGTTTTTTGTACTCATTTAAAAAAACTTATTTTATGGGGACAATACCTATTTTTTTAGGAAATATTGTTTTTTTAAGTATGTATAATTAAAATATAAAACTTTGTGGGAGCAATTGCCCCATTAAACTTAATGTGGATCCGTCCCTGTATATTATAATAAAATATATTATTTATCATATGAAATATTAAGTATTTTATTAATTTTTGTGTTTTATATTGTAAAATAAATGTTAAAATGAATATATTATTTTTGAAGTATTTTTTTTAAATGCTTTTGAATGTAATTTGTTAATTTAATTTTTTTAAAATAAATAGATGTAAGTTATTAAATATATGTGGAGTTTGTTAACATACATCCTCTTCTTTTCTAAAAGGAATATATCAACAAGTTATAAACGTAATGTTTTTTAAAATAAATTTAGATATAACTTGCTAACTTTCTCCTTTTTAAAAAAATAAAAATAATTATAAAGTAGCAAACTCACATATGTATGTTAATTATAGTTAAGTAAACTTAGTCAAAAGATTATGATTTATCCAAGTTCATGTTATACTTTAAAAAAATTTTTTTTTTAATGTAATAAATAAATGATCAAATAATAATTTTGTTATTTATATAAAAAATAATAATTTTGAAGATGTTGAAAATGAGAAAATCATACGATATTTTAGAATATAAAATATCATAAAGAATAATTAAAATATATATTTTTATCTTAAAAAATATATAATTATATGATTATTATTACAAATTTGTATAGTCTTCACTACTTAAAATTTTCTGAATTTGTAACTATATCAATTTCTTTATAATGTGCAAGTTTCTTCCAAATTTTTTTTTTACATCTAATAATAATGCGCAAGTTTCTTCCAATTCTATTTTTTTTACGTCTAATAATAAAATAATGTCAAAGCTAAGATATAATGTATCATATGATTCAGCATATAAAACCAAATCCACCGTAAAAAGTTTATTATTATTGTACATGCATGCATTATTGATAAAAAAAAATATTTATATAAATGTTTAATAAAATTTAATTATTTTATTACATCAACATGTTTATTAATATTAGTAGAAAGACAAGGCAAGCACAGGGTATTTATTTGCATTTTTAATTTTT